AATGCTAGTAGGCTTTTTGATCCCGTGTTGTCTAGTTCTAGTTAAAAATTAGTGCATGTGTGCCACTTTTTCTAACGTTACCCGAGTGCTTGCTTGCCTTTTTCGAGACTACCATTCACTAAAACGCGAATGTCCATTAAAAAAACAGCACGATATATACTAATCTTAAATTTACCCATGAAGAACAAGTACAGTAAAATTTTTCTTCTGATGCCAAAAAACCTAGCTTTTTTTCGAAATTCTAGAACAAAATAATTTCCTGAAGTAGGCGAAAAAAAAAACTAACTGTGGGCAAAAATGTTGGTTGTCAAAATGATCACCAAAATCAGCGTTATATCTGCCTGAATAGGAATCACTGGAAGATCCACTTTGCCGTGAAGATTTGCCCTTAAAGAATATATATTTTATGAATTCATATAACAGAAAATGCACTTGCAACTCCTTAAGGAAATCAGTACAACCAGTTTTTTGAGGAAAAAAAAATGACCAATCAAGAAATCAAATAAAAACACGCACCCGAAAAACTATTTCTTAAAAATCATTATAATGAGCACTTATTATAACAGACTGAAGGTGGCCGCAACAAAACTAAGCAATATTGAAACATGACGGGGTTTTTTAATCAGAAATTTATCAGGCTACCCTTATATAAAATGCATATGTTGCCTGCTTCGATGATTATAATTTGATTTTTAGATCAATTTCAATCTTAGTAAAATTCTGTTGGGACTTAATTTTAACACAAAAATTTAAGTCGGTCACAAAAATTTGACTTATAAATAAGAACACATACAATTGAATTTGAACCTAAATAAATCCAAATTTGCCTAAAATATTATCCCACATTTCTCTAGCTAGGAAGAACTGCAATTGGAGATCATTACAATCTTAAAGTGGCAACTAACGCAAAATACTAGAGATACTTTGAAATTACTAAAGCCTTGCCATATACTTCCGTCAAGGAAATCTCTGAGTTTGGAATCTTTTTACTACGTGAGCTTCCCAGAGTCAACAGCTTTCCAGCTTTTCTGGTTCCTGAGTTAGCAATTTTTCGGCTAGAAATTTTCATGGGTCTGTACGTGGGAACCACGCACACTTGAGAGGTGTATTTAAAATCTTTAAGTTGTACTTAGGCTTGGAGTATCCCCTTAAAATTTCAGCCTCCCAGTTTTTCTTGAATGTCAGAATCGTTTGATCGCCAAACGATGCAGTAATTGCGAGAAACAAACTATAAATTGCAACTGAATTTAATTCTTCAAGTAAAAGCTTAAGTAGTGTATAAAGTTGCGCGCCTAAAAGTGAATGATATTGTAGTAAAGATTAATCGTCTAAGCAAGAAAGCCCAGATTTTTAGTAAGCTGTAATTTAGTAGCGTCTCGAAAACAAGATCTACTGCCACTCATACAAAAAACCCGTAATATTTGGTACCTTCTTCTTGCGCCGCGATTGAGATGGTGAGGATTCCACGTCTTCACTGCGAAATTCATCCACAACAGGAAAACTGCAAAAAAACGCAGTTCAACCCAACCTCAAAAGAATGTTAAATTTCTTGAAACTCTTAAAAAATTTTTCCAAAAAATGGCTCAAGTTCAGAATACTAAGTAAGGCCTGAAAGATAAAAGCCATCAAATCGTGACCGCTACAGTCGATTTAAAAACTTTCAATAATCCGTGACAGGATATATTTCTATCATAAAATCACTGGATTGAAGATGATAAAACAGGAAAAAAAAGGGGGAGGGGCATACCCAAAAATTATATTATTCAAAGAGCAAAAAAAAAAAAGAAAACACCAACGTGCTGTAAATTTCCGCAAAGCTTTCGTTGTTCAGACTTCTCGGTTCTCGGCGAAAAAACGAGCCACCGGCAAACGATGAGGTATACTTGTAGCCGGTGAGTGCCAGTACTTCCGGTAAAAAGAACATATCCACTTTATGTAGAGTTGAAGGAACTGCAAACAAAAAAGTCATAGCTAAGGAACAAACATTTGTCAAAAAACGGAATGGAAAAATTTATGAATTTATGAAAATCTGTATCTATGAAATCTATGAATCGTGAGATCTTTGAATCTACGAAATCTATGAATTGTGATTTTTCGAAACTACGAAACCTATAAATCGTGAATCTATGGATCTACGAAATCTGTGAATCGTGAGTCTATGAAATATATTGATCGTGAATCTATGAAAAAAAAAAAAAAAAAAAAAA